CGCAGCCTGCAGGGGGCGCCGGCGCGGCCTGGGGAGGCCCCGGCCTGGCCTGGCCAGCTGCGGGCGCTGGACGCCGGGGAGGCGGGGCGCGGGGCCTGCGCTGGGACCCTGACGGGAACAGCCACCTCCCTGCCCGCCCCAGGCCACTGCACACCGACTTTCTTGAGTCTTTGCCATTCAGCCATGCCCAAACTTCTGTTTCTCCAATGAAAAGTATGTGCTGATTTTGCAGAGAAACAGCCATCCAGACACACATATAGAATATACAGAACGGGTTGGAAGGCCGGGAAGAAAATACCAGTATTCCTAAAGCAAAACCAGACTGTGGGTTTAAATGCCAAGAATTCAAGAGTCAAATGCAGGTGAAATGGCTTCACTAGCTAGAATATCTTATCAAAATAGGAAGTGTCAACTGGTCAAATAGTGTAATAACTCGGTATAATCTGCAACGTTAGATAGTTTGGTGCAACAGTTCAGGGTAGGATTTTTTTTTTTTCTCTTTGGCTACCAGATGTTATTGGAAAATTTTGGTGAAGAAAACAGTCAGAAAGGGTTCTACAAGATGCTTAAGACAGATGAGGGATGCTACAATGTAAGCAATTAGCCTGCGGCTTCTTAAAATCTCTTAAAATACTATGCAACAGTGTATTAACAGAGCCTAGGGGAAATACAGCTCGAACTGCAGGCAGTTTTAAGTTGGGTTGCTACAACTTATCAAAGTCTCTGGAGAACTTTGTATTATGTTTCACCAAGAGGACCAGTAAATTCTTGATAGAGTGGAGTAGGTTTTGCACAAACAATAATGAAAATAGTATTTGTAGTTGAATTGGTTGAACAGTGGCCAGAAAAATAGAAAAGTTTGCTGTAGCTTTGAGGGGATGGGATAAGAAGGCAGGCTTTGGAGCTGAGAGCCTCCTTTAGACACCAGCTCTGCCCTCCCTGGGTATGAGATGTCGCTCTAGTGTCCTCACCTGCAGAAAAGGATCTACCTCCCGAAGTTATGAGAATTCATATATGTAAATCTCTTAAAGAGAGCCCACTTCATAGTAAGTTTCAGAGGCGTTCGTTTTTGTCAGTGAAATTAGTAATACTATTTAACAACTGGGATTCAAGCTCCAAGGAGGAGGCTTTGTCTTGTCCTGGTTTCCTTTTCTTTGCTTGTTCATCCCTGCTGGGTTCAAAGCAGGGAAACATGACCTTAATTTTCTATAAACTAGAATGTAGAAGGCATCCTCTGATAGTTGTTGAATATTGAAACGTGTTCCTTACTGAATTTAGTTTCCTTGTTCCTGCTTCAACCTAGAGCACATAATGTTTATTATTATCATTAGTATCATTTATGCCATTGAAGATGTTTGGTCATATTATTAACCATAATAATTTTCCTGGCCTAATTATATAGCATTTTGTATTTCCAGAATGTCTTACAACCACTACTTGTATGAGGAGATCCCTTTAAAACACTTAGAATTGTTTACAATTGATGCCTAATTTTGAATGCTTATTAGAAGTACAATAAAATATATTTTTCCTCTGAATTAATATCAAAATGATTCATCTACCTGGTACCTAATTTTCAGGATGCACAAGTTAGCTACAACTACTTCTGCCTCCCAAGTGCTAGGATTAAAGGCATGCACTACTATGCCAGGCCAATATTTCTATTTCTTATTCTCATCCTAGAATGCTTGGAGTGAGACTAACATGGCCCACCTGGTTCATGGCTACAGCTGGACCTACCTCAATGGCAGTGATTTGAGAAAAATCAAGAAACGGCTATCCTTAGTCTTGAAAACGCCTTATTTATTTGAAATTCCTCAATTGGAGCTCTTATTTATTCTGTTAGCTTAAGACAAATAATAAATTTAGTCTCTTTTAGAAACTGAAAAATACAGGGCTGGAGAGATGACTCAGCAGTTAAGTGTGCTTGCTTCTCTTCTAGGGACCTGAGTTCAGTTTCCAGCACCTCCCAGGCAGCTCCCAACCACCAGCAACTCCAGCTCCAGAGGACCCAGTACCCTCTTCCGGCCTTCATGGCACTTCCACACATGTGGACTTGGATGCAACACAGACACACACACACACACACACACACACACATATGTATGCATGCACATGGGTACAAATTTTAAAGGGGAGGGCTAGAGAGCTGGCTCAGTGGTTAAGAGCACTGGCTGCTCTTGTAGAGGACCTGGGTGTGGAGGTTTGAATGATAATATCCCCCGTAGGTTCCAAGTATTTGGACATTTTGTCCCCAGTTGGTGGTGCTGTTTTGGGAAGTCTTAGAAGGTATGGCTATCCTGGAGGAAGTACATCACTGGGGGCAAGCTTAGAGAGTTCTTAAGCCTTGCTGGATCTCAAGTTTCTCTCTTGCTCCCTGTGGCTGCTGAAAGAAGTAGAGCTTAGCTTCTGCTCCTCCTCCAGCCACCTCTGCCGTGATGCCTCCCCATCAAGATGGACTGTAATTCCCCTGGAACCATAAGCTCAAATAAATTCTTCCTTTCATAAGTTGCTTTGGTCAGTGTTTCTATCACAGAAATAGAAAAGTAACTAATACACCAGGTCTGGTTCCCAGCATCCACATTCTGGTTAACAACCACCTGTAACTCCAGTTCCAGGAGATCTGACACCCTCTCCTGACTTCCTGGGCATTCTATGCATATGGTGCACTTACATACATGCAAGCAGTACATTCAACACATAAAATAAAAATAGATCAATGAATCAAAATAAAACCCCCTTAAATACTAATAGGAGAGATAACCATTAAACTCTATCATTCATTATACCTCATGGTGAATGAATTTGTTAAATTGTCTGCTCCTCTCCCCAGTGCTTTATTTTAATTTTTTATGTGTATGCATGTATTGCCTGCATATAGGTAAGTGCACCTGTGTCGTGCAGTGCCCTCGGAGGTCAGAAGAGGCTGTTGGATCCCCTGGGACTGGAGTTACAGACAGTTGTTTGCTGCCATGCGGGTGCTGGGATTCGAACCCAGGTCTTCTGCAAGAATAACCAGTGTTCTTAACCTCTGAGCCATCTCTCCAGCCCCCCGCCCACTTTTTTTTTTTTTGAAACAGTTGTTACCAGACTCTGAAGTACACTGCTTGATGCTTTAAAAACAAAAGCAAAAACATTAAATGACTCAAAACAAAAACAACAGGAGACAGGAATTGATACAAGGAATAGGGTTTATTTCCAGTTTTGGCCAGAACTGGGGAGAGAAAAGCTCCCAGCTTCCCTCTGCTCTGCCTGAGGCAGTGTCACCATTCATAGAAAAGATGAAACAAAAGGCAAAAGATACCACTGTATAGATTTAGCTGATGATGAGTTGTCAGAACTGTGAGATTAGCCCTTTCCTGGAGGAGGCTCCACTTCTGGCTGTTCCTCCTCTGCCTTCAGGGCTTTGGACCATTCTTACTGTAGTAGTAGCGGGGATTCTCTAGAGGAACAAAGCCAATACAATGAATATTTATTACCAAGGGGATTTATTAGAGTGGCTTACAGGATATGGGCTGGATAGTCCAACAATGGTTGTCTGTATGTTAGAGAGGCCGAGAATCCAAGAGCTGCTCAGTCCATACGGCGGGCTGCTTCAGTAGTCCCAATGTGGCACTGAAGGCCCGGAGGATTTCTTCTGGTCCTGGTTCTCATTGGAAAGCCAAAGAAGCTGGATTCCAATGGTAGCAGAGTGGATCTGTGCACCAGTAAGGAGCAAAGGCAGGCCAAAGCAACACTGTTTTCCCCTCAGACCTCTTCATATCTGGGCCAGAGGCAGGTACTGCCCACTCTAGGAGAGAGACTTCCTGCCTCAGTTAACCCTTCCAGGACACCACACAGACTCACCCAGAGACCTGTCTCTCAGTTGATTCCAGATCCAATCACATTGCCAACTGAAATTAGCTATCACATTCACCCTCAGCATGGAATCACTTGGTGATTTTTAAATCTATTTAGGGTCCCTGTTACACAGTCTTTTAGCCCAGGTTGTCCTCCAACTCACAATCCTGTCTCAGCCTCCTGAGGGCTGGGCTTCCAGGCATATATCACTATGCCTAACTGTTAAATTCTTTTCTAAAATGAAGTTTAATCAGTGATAACACAGAAAACTCCTGAAAATTTAAGTCTAGTTACTGTGGAATTGAGAAAAAGAGAAAGGAAATGGTTAGATAATACTGATTTCCAATGCTTGGTAGACTTCTGGGTAAGTGTGTGGGTGGAATATAAAAATGTAGTACCACGCCCTCCACCCAACCCTGCTAAGATTTGAATAAAAGAATTTCTTAAGGTATAAACCCAAAAGGACAAATGAATTTTGAGAATTGGATAATAAAGCATTAAGGCAGCGACAAAGCCAGGACTTTAACAAAGTAATGTGTTAACACATCCACAGAGCCTCTCCTGATTCAGGAGTTAGTGACAATTGGTGCTGTGGTTTGAGTGTGAACTGTCCCCATAGGCTCACGAGTTTGAACACTTGGTCCTCGGCTGGTAGTGCTATTTAGGAAGGTTATGGAACCTTTAGGAGGTAGAGACTTGTTGGAGGAAGTGTATCCCTGGGGACAGCTTTGAGGGTTTATAGCCTCTCCCTCCTGTTCTCCCTCTCTGCTTTCCTTGTGTGTGGATGGAATTTGATGACTCTGCTTCCTGACTGCTAGGCAGGCCGGAAGCTCTTGATGCCGTGTCTTCCCTGTCATGATGGACTGTATTCTTTCTGGAATTGTAAGCCAAAATAAATCCTTTCCTTCCCCCAAGTTGCTCTTAGTTCTGGTTTTTGTCACAGCAACAAAAGAAAAACACAACAGTAATTTCATGGGAAAATGGCTGAAGTAGGACCAACAGTGGCAGGACAGATGAAGTTTGTTCAGAACTGGTTACACCCCTCCCTGCTCTGTGAGTCAACTGATGGTCCGTTTACAGTCCTGGTATAAGATGACTTGGTCTGGAGAAGGTGGAAATTCCTGGGGTGATGGGGAGAGAAGATGAAAGTAGACATTGCCTATGTTGAAAAACACACCTCCAACCCTCCTGCTCCTCTCACCTCCCAGAATACTAACATCAGCCTGATCCTTCCAGATGGAAGAAAGGAAAGGATTCCTGTGGAGAATCTGAAATTTGAAAAGACCTGAAGATACTGACAGGGAGCCCAGTGACAAGCTCCAGCCATGTGCTCAGAGCACTCAATCAGTCTTACCAGGCAAATCTCCTCATGGAATCAAACACCACAGGGTCATCAGAAATGTGAGAATTGCATATAAGATTAATTATAGAGACCAAAAGAGAATTATGGTGAGAGAAAGAGAAGGAGACTTGGAACATCCCATAACTGTTTGTATCAAACTGACAGAGCTGTAGAATAAACCTTAAGAAAGAAAGAATGAAAGAAAGAAAGAAAGAAAGAAAGAAAGAAAAAACTATCAATAATACTCTCTAAGAACAAAAGATAAAGCATCTATAAATAGGAATGGTCTGTTATTTCTAAAACAGCATTTATCGACCCATTAAGGAATAATTAGAAATAATATGTTTTTAAAATAATGTAAAAAGAAAGGATGGAAAATAGCACTTCCCAAAATACAAAATCTGCATGTGATTCACTTGTATAATTCCAGAACTTAGGAGGTAGAGACAGGAAGATCAGGAGCTCAAAACCAGGCTGGGCTACATATAGAATTTGAGGCCAGCCTGGGCTACACAAGACCCTGTCTCAAAAAAGCAAGAACAGGGCTAGAGAGATGGCTCAGCTGTTCAGAGCACTGCAGTTCTTACAGGGGACCTGGGTTTGGTTCTCAGGACCCACATGGCGGTTAACAATCATCCATAACTCCAGTTCCAAGGGATCTTCTGGCTTATGTGGGTATTGTATGACACAGGTGCACTTACACAAATACAGGCAAAACACTCAGACACATAAAAGTAAAAATAAGACAAAAAAAATTTAAAGCAAAAACAAAATAACAAAAGGCCAGCAAAATGATAGGTGAGGGCTTTTTTTTTTTTCCCTTTTTTAAATTAGAGGGCCTATGTAGTAGGTTCAACACCTGAATAAGAATAGAGGAAGGAAAATAATTAATTAATAATTCAGTATAATTTTATTAATGTCAAAGACATGAGTTTCTAGATTGGTAGCATCCTTTAAATACCCAAACAATGTTGGGTGTGGTGGTACACACCATTGATCCCAGCACTTGGGAGGTAGAGGCAGGTGGAGCCCTGTGAGATGGAAGCCAGTTGGGTCTACATAGTGAGTTCCAGACCAGCTGGAACTACAGGGAGACCCTGCCTCAATAAACAAACAAACAAAATAATAATGATGATGGTGAAATAAAAAAATAAACATAACAACCAGAACAGTGGAGGAAGATAAATTCACTCTAGTGGACACTATTGCAAAACTTAAGAACACTGGGTTCAAAGAAAGATCCAAGAATACTTCTAATGAAAGGAAACGAAAGCAAGTTCATAAGAGCATCAAGAATCATGCACTTCCCAGCAGAAGTACAGAAAGTAAGAAGGCAGAGGGGTGATGCCTTCAAAGTTCTGAGGTAAAAAATACTTTCAGCTTCAAATTCTATACCAAGACCAAGTATCAACTGAGTATGAGAATAAAGTAAGTCATTTCAAGTGTGCACGATGCTGACATTTTGTCCTATCTTGCACTTGTCTTGGGAAGCTATGAGATGTGCTCCATCTAACCTCAGGGAGAAAACCAGGGGGCATTGGCAGGTCAGGGTGGTTCTGAGGATGACAGAGGCTGGGAGAACCACCAAGCAGTGCAGATGAGAACAGGTCAGATGTTTCCAGGGGAGATTTCCCAAAGAGGAAGCCAATAAATGCAACACTAATGAGTTGGAACAGAATTTCCAGACAGGAGGAAAGTCTGATACTGAATTAGTGATGAATACCAGAGCTAAGTAACAGCAGCAGAAAAAAAGATGAAGAGAAGGAAGAGGAGGGGGGAGGGAAGTAGATTATGGTTGACACCAAGAAGAATGAATGCTGTGCTGTGCAAGAGCAAACAATCCTAGTCTACATGGCCCAGCTGGGCATATTTACAAAACCATTATAATGTAAACAGCAAGTACTGGTCCAGTAAAGACCATAGCGTCGCCATATTCGGAAAATGAAAGATGGAATGGGGTGTGTGAGGAAAAAGGGCTAAATCATCATCAAGTCAGCACAAGACAAGACTGTCAATAAGTAACATAAGGCTTGGAGAGACAGCTCAGTTGTTAAGAGCACATACTGCTTTTGGAGAGGACCCTAGTTCAGTTTTCCCAGCACTCATATCAAGGGGCTCATAACTGCCTATAAGGTCAGCTCCAGGGACCCAATGCCTTCTCTGGACTCTGCAGGCACCTGTACACACACACACACACACACACACACACACAATTTTTTTTAAATCTTTATAAAAAAGTAATGTAAACCTATAGTCCTAGTTTGTTTCTCCATTGCTGTGACAAAACATTCTGACCACTACCAATATGGGGAGGAAAGGGTTTATTTGTCTTACATCTCCTGGGTCAGTTCATCAGGGAGCCCAAGGTAGGAACTCAGGGCGAGAACCTGGAGGCAGGAGCTGGGGCACAGGCCGTGGAGGAATGCTGCTTACTGGCTTGTTCACTGGTACCTGCTCAGCCTGTTTTCTTATACAATACAGGCCCACCTGCCCAGGGGTGGCACCACCCACAGTGGGCTGGGCCCTCTCACATCACTCAACAATCAAGAAGATGCCCCTCAGACATGGCCACAGGCCAGTCCTATGGAGGCAATTCCCAATTGAGGATCCCTCAACCCAGGTGTGTCAAGTTGACACTAAAGCTATCCAGCGCACATATTATTCAAAAAAAGGAAATAAATAATGAGAGCCTGCTCTCAGTGTTGAAAGGTTGCCTCTGTGAAGCAGGAAACTGGGAGTTTGGGAGGAAGGACTGAAGCTTTCATAACAAATCTGGTAAGCTCTTGACTAAACTGTTTGCTGGTATGAAGCAAAATTTGTTTGGCAAGGGGCGAAACTAGAGGCAGGAAACCATTTTAATGCTTTTGTGAAAGTTCAGATAAGAGGTTATAACCTGTGGGAGTTATTATTCTATAAGAATAGGAAGGGTACTTACCTGATGGAGAAGACACCATGATCAAAAAGGTTTTTCCCAGGATGAGGCTTATCCATTGCACTCTGGGAGTGTTGACCCCTATGATTTCCCAAATGTGGGAAATTTGGCTGAATGATTTGTGGTAACAGGAACTGAGTTTGCACTTTCCCCTTAATAAAAAAAGAAATGGTTCTATTGGAAACCAAGGTAAGATCAACCAAATTTTTTAGATTATAAAAAGCATGAATGAGAAGACAAAGCTACTCCTGGAGCTGGCCACTTGGATGGGTTTAGTGAAGATGTCATTCAATGAGATCATGAAGATGGAGACATAGAAAGAGAATGAGGGGCTGGGGAGACAGCCTAGTAAGAACATGCTCGCCATGTAAGCATGAGGACTTGAGTTCAATCCCCAGAAACCATGGGAAAAAAGTCAAGGGCAGGGTCATGTGTCAGTAATCTCATCACCAAGGAAGTGGAAACAGGAGGATCCCTGGGGCTTGTTGGCCATATTATATATACATGTATATATACATATATACACACATATATATACATATATACATGTATATATATGTATATAAAGCTACTGAGAAAGACTGCTGGCTTCTATGTACAGATGCATGCTTACACCACAAATGAGTACCTACATGTATGTGTGTACACACATACACACAAGAAAAAGGAGGAAGGAAAGAAGAGAGAGAGTTGCTTTCATTATGTATGTTTGATAAGCTGCTCAATTGCGTCTCTGTGGAGATGTTTTGGATTTTCATTGTTTGTTTGTTTTTTGACAGGGTCTCCCTAGTTCCAGTCACTCTGTGAACCAGGCTGGCCTTGAACTCACAGAGATCCGCCAACTTCTGCCTTCTGAGGGCTGGGATTAAAGGCATGTGCCATCATGCCTAGCTGATATATGTTTTGAAGTGATAAATTTAGATTAAGAAGTTAGAAGGGAGAGCTGGTCTTGGAAAAAATAGATTTGATAATCATTTCTAAAAGAATAATTCATATACAAAAATGAGTGAGATGGTTAGTAAGAAGTCAAAGAAAAAAGACAGTCTCTGGAATGAAGGGCTGGAAATTAGAAAGGTATTTCTTTTTTTTTTTTTTTCTTTTTTTGGTCTTAAAGAGCCATCAGAAGTAAGAAAACATATTATATGAACGTTCAGAGAGAAGTGCATTTCAAAAATTGAGCAGCTGGACTGAGTTATAATGCTGAGTTAGTACTGGCTACAGTCTTCACCTTCTGAAGGCAATTCTATATTTGTCCCAAGTTATGATTATCATTTAAAGTGTCTCCCAATAGGCTTATGTATTTAAGATGTGGTCCTACATCAGAGAATCCAGTCATTGAGGGGTGACTGGATCATAAGAGCTCTAACTTCATCAGTGGGTTGATCCCTTGATGGAGTCACAATGTGAGGTTGTTATTAGAAGTGAGACTGAGTTGGAGGAAGTAGGTCACTGAGGCCATGCCCTGAAAAAAATAATACCTTGCCTCCCCAGATTTCCACCCACTTCTCTCTCTTACACACTCAGGCACACTGTTTCTCTATTTCCTAGGTTTTATGAGATGAGCCACCTCTTCCATTACATCCTCTCTCCTGTGATTCTCCACATCACCACAGACCCACAGTGGTGGTGCTCAGTGACCATAGTCCGCTGAAACCTCTGCAACTGTGAAAGAAAAGTTTCCCTCCTTTTTATCACAGGGATGAAAGTGTAACTAACACACTACAGAAACAAGAAGAATCAGATGGATCTTAGAAACTTGCATAAAAACCATGTAAACTGGGGTATTCTGCATCTATTCCCTTAGTCCACCTCTGATGGCACTTCTGTGCAAACTCAGACCCACCACAGACTCACCGATTAGTGACACCTCATTTCCATGCTCCTCTCTTCAGAATTTTTTTCCATGCAAAAATCTCTATGCGGGAACACCTACTTTTCCAAAAGCACAATGGAGTTTGCACCCACTGGGATGACTCAGCTAGTGGGGGCAGAACCTAGTGGCTGAACATTTCAGGGTCCTGTCCATCATGTGGACAGTTCTGGGAAGAATTCTGAAAAGTGCTTTGAACACTTTGCATGAGGTCCCAATGAGATCAGGTACCCAGTGACCAGCCTGGGGACCTCACTATGCCTCCTACACCTTTCCTGTGTCTCTCTCTGCCCACATCCTCACTTCCTGTGATCTGGAGTAAACCACTTGCTCTCACGTCTTTATTTTCAGCTCTATTTTTGAGAAAATCCCCTGTGTGAGTTGAGGTGGAAGAAACCTGCTGGGGAGGATGAGTGACACACATTGAGTGCGGGCTGAAGAAGACGCACCTTTGCTATCTCCTCTCCCACACAGACTTTACAATAACAGAAACAATTCCAGAAAATGGGCAGAGCCCTGTTACATGTGACTGCATATATTAAAAAAAAAAAAAAAAGCCCACGTACATGTTGCTGAAAGAAATGTCTTTGTTAAAGAAGTTGCCTGGGGTAGCTGGAAAGATGGCTAAGTAGTTAAGACCTGGGTTCAGTTCCCAGCATCCATAGCAGACAGCTCACAACCACCTGTAAGTCCAACTCCAGGGGATCTGACGCCCTCTTCTGGCCTCTGCAGATATCACCACACATGGAATATATTCATAGAAATATGCACATGATACACATAAATAAAAAAGATTTTTTTTTAAAGAATTTACTTGGGATTCAGTTAGGTCCAGTATGATGGCTCCAGGGTGACTCCATGCTCATAACTTTCTGAACCACCGTCCAGTGCAGTCACACTCAGGTATGTGATGGCCTCATGAAGGTGCTGGAGCTCTAGTTTCAAGTATTACGCAGTAGTGGGAGGAAGTAGAGAAAGAGGGCTTCCCGTCTCTCCCTTCGCAAGTGCTTTCTGAGCGTTCCACACCTCTACTTACATTCCATCCATCAGAACCCACTTTTATAACCACAACTAAAGATTAGGAAAGAAAGTCAGGAAACGAAATGGTCAATTCTGGGTAACCACCAGAAAAATAAGCTTGTGAGGTACAACAATCAAATTCAGTGCATTTTTTTCCCCTCAATGCAATGGGATGCAGGAAAGAGAGATAACCAAAAAGAAACGCGAAGTAATAGAGAAAACATATGACTAAGCAGTGAATGGATTTAAAACACCAATTGAAATCCAGATGGCAGACTGGATTTTAAAATAGCACTTAAAAGTTTTTGAGATTTTATCTTCTGTTAGCATGTAACACAATTGGTTTCACTATGGCATTTTCACACCTACTTTGTTCTTACTCATTTCCACTTCCTTCTCCCGTGCCGTCCCCCTCTTGCTGGCCCCATTCTTCACACACGATGGCCTCCCTCCACCCTCATGTTATTACATGTATTCCTTTACTTTTTTCCCTGCCACTCCTTCCCTTAAGATCTGGCCTTCCCCTCTCACAGTCCATATTCTAGAGGGGAGTGGATTTAAATCTAGGATCTTTATATGAAAAAAACAAAAACAAAAGACATGATGTTTTTCTTTCTGAGTGTGACTAATTTCACTTAATAGCATGATTTCCAGGTGCATCCATTTTCCTAAAAATGCCATGATTTCATTTTTCTTCACAATAGAACTTTGCTGCATATATATACCTCATTTTCTTGATTTATTCATTGTTGATGGACATCTAGACTGGTTCCATTTCCTAGTTATTATGAACCAGGTAGCAATAAACCTGGATGTCCAACTATCTCTGTGGTAGCACTTAGAGTCTTTCAGTGTACACCCAGGAGTTTTCTGGCTGGGTCACGTGGTAGTTTTATAAAAATAGCACTATATTTTCTAAAAGAGATATATTTTAGAAAGGAAAAGATAAGCTCATGAAGGAGTAAAAGAAACTATACCAGAAAAATCTGAACGGAAGTAAAAGCAGGACAATAATCATACCAAACAAAATAGAACCAAAGACGCAAAATCACGAGAGAGTGTATAGTAAAATAACAGTAGATCAAGAAACATATTTATGCTCATAATACATTTAATTGTATAGATACAAAAAATATGTCAGGCAATAACTGACAGAACTAGAGGAGAGATTAGAGAACCAATTCATGTGCTGGGAATTCATGCCTCATATAATCAATCAAGCTCAGAAAATGAGCAGAGATGTAAAACATTTGAATAACATAAGCAGTAAGTTCCAAGTTAACTTTTACGGAGAAATTTATGCTCATCAAAGAAGCCACATTTTCAAGCACACACGGAATATTTACTCACCAAAAGGGAAAGGAAGCCTAATAAATGTTTGAAAACGTTATTCATTTTATTTTATTTTTTTAGTCAGCATACAAAGTATTGGGTTTGATTGTCACACTTTCATATGTACCATTATATTTAGTTCTTCTTCCTCCCACTAGCTCTTTTGTCCTCCTTCCCTACTTACCAGTCCCCAACCACCCCCTCCCCCTGAGAGCCCCTCCTCTGCTTTCATGGCATGTACATTCTATTACCTTTTGTTTTCTTCCCCATTCCTTCACTTCAGAGCTCTCCCTCCCCTTCCATAGTCCCCTTCTTTCAACACACACACACACACACACACACACACACACACACACACACAGAGGTTATATCCAAGTGAGAAAGACCAATAACAAATATATAATAAAATTTCATGTTTTTTTAATATTTATTATTTTCATTTTATATGTATGAGTGTATTGCCTGCATGTATGTAAGTGCACCCATGTCGTGCAATGTTGAGGAGGTCAGGAGGAGGCATTGGATTCCCCTGGGACTGGAGTTCAGGATGGTTTGCAGTCACCATGCAGGTGCTGGGAATTGAACCCGGGTCCTCTGCAAGAGCAGTCAATGCTCTTAACCACTAAACCATCTCTCCAGCCCTTTAATGCTATATGTGGTGGTTTGAATAAGTGTCCCCCATTGACTCCAAGTATTTAAACACTTGGTCAGTGAGTGGCACTGTTTTGGGAAGGTCATGGAATCCTTAGGAAGTGTGGCCTTCCTTGAGGAAGCATGTTACTGGGGGCAGACTTTGAGGGCTCATAGCCCATTCTCAGTCTGTTTCCTTCTGCTTCCTGCGCCTGCTTGAAGATGCCAGTGCTCAGCTTTCTACTCCAGCTGCAGGATGGTTTGCAGTCACCATGCAGGTGCTGGGAATTGAACCCGGGTCCT